AGACTTTAGCTACCTGTGCTTGTTAGTGAAGAAGAGGCAAATTAAAAGAATACAACTGGGACAAGAACGTCAAAAATGTGGCTTCTGGCTGAATATGGATAGTTGAAGAGCATGGAGCTCTTGCAGCCTTGTTCAACCAGAAGGGATGCTGGGGAGTTTTGACTCCCTGGTTGAAAAAAACTGTCAAATGAGGTTAGATCAGATCATGGTTCTGGATTTGCTATAATAAATCCCTGTTTAAACCAACCACAGTTTGTCCTGGTTTTGACATAATGCCAAACCATGGTTAATTTGAAGCAGATATTTTCAATATCTTCTATTCATACCTATGGCTTGTTTGCATAACCTGGCCCACAGAATGTGGTAACTGTTATCTCTCTTACAGTACAGTTACTGACAGTGACCCGCCAAAGACTCAAGGCAAAAAATATTTTGCAACTCATCCTCACAAGGGATGAATTTCTGACCTTACACACAAAACAAGCATTGACTAACTGCACAAAGGCAACTTGATATAAGGGTCAAGGCAGCCATTAACCCTATGTGAACTGTCACTTATGGCTATAACATCTTGACCCTTCAGAACTGGAAACTTCATCCCAAGCTGTACAGCTCTCTGCAAGGATAAAAATGAAGGCACATCTCTCTGTCCATCAGGATGATAACTCCAATGCCATGAAACCTAGACACTTGAAAGCTGACAAGGGTACTGAGGAGTCCATAGGGATATGTCTGTTGAGTTATTTGGGGTGCAGCTACACTGTAGAAATAATGCAGTTCGACATCACTTTAACTGTCATGGCTCTATCCTACAGAATCCTGGGATCTGTGGTTTTGTGAGGCTCCAGTACGGTTTGGCACAGAAGGCTAAAGACCTTGTAAAACTACAAACCCCAAGATTTTGTAGGAATCATTTACTACCAACTAAACCTTGGTGCCGTGGCAGTTAAAGTGGTATCAGACTGCATTATTTCGGGAGCACAGATGAATGCTGAGTTAAATACCTAACCATGTCCATCTTCAGCAGCACACTGCTCTTAGCCAGCACTCAGTTTTGCAATGAATACTTTGAAGCTGCTTCTCTCTGCCAGAGGAATAGAGTTATACAACTGCCCTCTTTCTTATGGGGCATCCCCCCTTGTGAACATGGAGTGGGCACTGCAGACCCCTTTGTCATGATGCTCTGGGCAGTAGGTGTGCCTCGGGATCATACTATCTGTGGCTTCATTCAGATGGGGCACACACACCATCTGTCCAGCTCCAACAGCTGCACCAACTGGCTAAGAAGCTTTTGTGTAGCATACTCAAGGACCATTCTTACTCTTATTTCTTACCTGCCTTGATCCATGGGAGAGCAACAACAATTAAAAAATACACCACATCAGTTAAAATGCATCAGATAAAGTACACATCAATTTAAAAGGACATACATACAATGTAAAAGGAGAAGATATACACATACTAAAACAATCCACATTTCAAATTCATCATTTAAAATTCACAATTAAAAAAAATCATCTAGATAAAAGTATCTGGATTGTAACCAATCTGTTAGCCGCATACTTTCACTAGGTGACAGTGCCATAACTTTCCCCTCCAAAACAAATCCCAAAGATCTCAAAAAAGAAACCAAACTGGCTTCTGTAATTAAAGGGCAAATGGACATGATTAACATTTCACTCAAGCTAAACTCTAGATTCTTGGAAGCAGAAAAAGTATTCTTGGAAGCAGCAAAAGTATCCAGTCTGTTAAGCATCTCTATTTTCCCACTGAAGGAATC